CTTACTTCATTACTTGCCACGAAGTATTCAGAAATGATGTCCTATGGCAACTAGGTTAGCATTTGATTGTGACCTATTTAGTTGCAGAATCCGATTCTCAGATCCCTGCGCATCGAAATTGTTTGATGACGCTTCCAGATGATCCGATTTGTTCACGCTGATCCCAATGCAAATTGAACCGCATTATGTTGATGGAGCTCATGCCACGAGAACCCGATGACTGATTAATCTTTGGGTGTCATGTAAAAATAAGGATTCCCCGCCTGGTGTCATGATCCCTTAAAATTCAAAGACTAAAAGGCCTAGAAGACTCAATATTTGAAGGGATTGATTTATGAAAGGGGATAAATGAAACCTTTTCTGCTCACTTTTGATCATTGGGCACATAAATAGTAGTCATGCCCTTTTGTCGGTTCGTCCAAGGAATTCCTGGGATGTGGTAAGGAAGCTGATTAGAAAAACCCACTGCATGCAAAACTGAGGAGCACCCAAGCCTTGCGGTATCAGCGTGTGTGGCGGCGTGATGGTCCAGCACCCTTAACTGCTATTAAGACACCTAATGAGTACCACCTAGAGGGTACTCACTAGGTGTCTAGTGGCGATTGCGGTGCTAACAAGATCGGAAACTTCGTAACAGGATCGGAAGGTATACAGGGGTGGCCAAAAAAAGAGACACTTCACTTCACATTCAAAACGGAATTATTTACGCGTCGCGAAACCAAACCAAATGATCCCAACTGAATATTGAAGAGCACGTTATAATCTATCAACAAGCTACACAACAGCCTTCTACACCGACGACCAGGAACGATTTTCAACGAGGCTCTTCAAATATACCATAGCTGATTACGACGTCTCTGAAACGCAGGTCAAAAGCGGTTTTGCATGGTCAGAGTGTTCATGGAAAGCCATTAACCAGTTTGGCTGCCCAGAAATATTATGTAGCCAAGCTTCGAGAATGGGAACGATCTATGGTGAGACTCGCTTGGAGCGTCGACCGTGCGGTGATGGACAATCACGCTGCAATATCCTGAGGCGGGCGGGCGGCAGTGAGGAGCCGCCTGCCTTCTGTACGGGAGAGAATACACCTAAGGGAATATTGCGCGCGTGAAAACTTTTGAAGTGGACCACCGGCTCCGTTGCAACAAGAACTTCGACAATGTGGCTATGCGGGCTAAGATGGTCTCTTTTTATTGGCCACCACCTGAAAAGGCGTGGGCGTTAGGTATGAAATTGAACCGTCACCAAGTCTAAGCGCCTCGCCGAAGGTGCGGGGCTTTTCATTTTCTCGTGATGTCATGACTGTGGCAAGACACTTCAACTGTTAAACTGTTTTAACTACTCCACATGATGTTGTCCTCGCAAACAGGGGGGAGATGGCGAAGGGGTGGAGAGACCAGCGGTGCAGGAGAAAGTGGGTAAGGAGGGAAGCAATCACCAACAAACATAAGATCAATGTCAGAGTCAAGGTTTCAGACTGCAGTGTCATGATAACGATAGTATGCAGGGGGGCGAAAAATTAAGACAAAAACCTTAGACGATTGGCTTAGTTTGAAAACCGCTGGGATTTTTCCTAACGCTTTGTTAAGAATAATGCCAGATAAATGCGAGATCTGCCACAGCCCGTTTACACGGAGCCTTCAGGATGAGAGAGAGGATGGCAGAGTGCGGTGGCCCACGCAAACTGAGGAGTGTCGAAAGTCTTTCAAGGCCTCTCTCTTGCCGTCTCTTCAGCAGAAAGTCAAAGGTTGACGGGGATTAATTTGTGTCCTTTCCTTCAGAGTGCTGCAAACCAGAGCGTGGAAATCAGCCCAAGAAGTCTTACCTGTAAAAAAAGACAAAATTTTTTCTTCGGAAGAAACGAACTTCGAAAGAATCGGCCAAGCATTGAGTCTCCCGAATTTTCCATCCATGGTGATTCCAAGCTTATTGAAGAGTTGAACTGTTGCCCAAATGAGCTTTCCTGATACGTTAGACTGCCGCTAGATGTAACGTAGCCAGAGCCCTTAGTGAGTTCAATTTGAGGACTGACGTAAAGAGATGTTGTTATTTCACTAGTTTTGAGAACTGCATGAAATTTGTTTCATTAGGAAGAAGACATTGTACCCTCTCACATAGTGCACAGAAAGGAGATAAAAATGGAGCGACTCGGAAAAAAGTGGATATGACCGCGCGCGCACGCGGTCCTCATAATTTTGGCCCACCCTGTTAGAACAGTTTAATATAGAAACCTCTGCGGGGTTAACAAAAACGTTTATCCTTAAGCAAAAACGGGTACTGTAGAAAGGACCATTTTGAGCACGCTCGTTCTGCCGCCTCCCGTGGTGACTGCGTTAAAAAGGAATTTAGGTGTTTTATAATTGATCCAATCGTGCTCCACTCTCCAGCTTTTAAAAGCGATTATTCTAGTATGATACCCTCCACTTTGTACTTTATTATAAGATTAATAAGAAGTTAGAAAGTCATCACACAAAGCTATGCATGTTGACAGTGCAAACGAACTTTGTTGAGCTCGAGCGCAGAAATCTCTTCACATTCTTCAGATTGGAGTGAAACTAAATTGTTTAGCGATACAGCATCCGTAGTTGTCGCGTCACTGCATGGTCCGCGAGGACAAAGAAAGTTCCCGTCACCAAAGTACATATTTCCTCCCTCATAGATCAGCCGGTTTAATTGCTGTCTGACCTTTCAGTGGAAGTATGCTAATTGATATCTACGTAGGTTGATCCGCATCTTTTGAGGGGGGAAGTCCATTGTATTTTTGTGATTAGGACGAAACGGACAATAGCGCGTTGCAGCGAGACAAGCAGTACCATGAAGTCCAAAATCTTATGGAAGAGAGTCACATGGTGCAAAGTAAGTGGCAGTCGATCTGGTTTTGCTGTGGTGAGATTTTACTAAGAAGAGACCAGGAAGTTGGCCTTGATTAACAAGTCGACGCACAGCGCGTTTTTTGGTTTTTCTTTCTCGTTCGCTGTGGACCGGGAAAAGCGGCGAGTTCTCAAGTGCTCCCCAAGCCCTCAACCTTCACATCCATGATTTTGAATCCTACCAGGGGAGGATGTGGAGTCTACAATGTGCATTTCCGGCTGGAAGCAAGTTTCAGACTATAATAGATATCAGAAAAACAGGTAAAAGTATGTAATGGTACTCGATGAGTCGATGCCCTGGTAAACCGTCAAAAAACTACGGATACTAGCAAAGTCTAAAGCAATTGCTAATATCGTACTTATGCGCCTACTCATTATTTTTTCGCCGTACTATAGAAAATTTATGACACATCTGATTTGTGTATCTATTTTTGTCACTGCTATCGACACCAAATCCGTAGGCTCTCTCCCTAAGTCCGCAATTCGAATTTTTCTAGGTACGTCACACCACGGAGATGCTTGGCAAACTGTTAATGATGTTACATTCTAAGTCCCTCTCTGCCTCCGCTTATGCCTGTCGCCTCCGCTCACGACATTTTCTATTAGACATGCTGAGGAAAGACCCGAATGCCCAATCAGTATATTTTTCCACTTGTTCGATTTTACGGAAAAACGGTTTAGCAGAGGCAACTAAAACAGGTTTTATTTTCCACACATGTACATGTCCCTAAAAAATGGCCCGTACTGTACAGTTATGCCATCAAGTAAGCATAAACAGCCGTCATGTGAAAAAGGCCGCGAGGCGCGTGCCGCTGAAAAAATCCTCCGTTGGTAAGTTTTCATGAACGCAACCTTCGTAGTCGAAACTTGATGGTTGGAAAGCTGGTATAACTCCCATAGCTGTGTCATGTAGTACCCTATCCCAGCATGTACCATTAGTGCTAGCTACAAGTATCGATCAAAATTGCGCGCATTAATGTTGAGCACACTGGGTATAAGTAGGCAGGATTTTGCTTTTTCGCTTAATTTGTCTCAAAAAATGTGTATTTTTTTTTCCCCACGAGTTATTTTTTCATTTGTCAAAATCACGTTGTTTCCAACCCAGCGTTCACAGACAGAGAGGCCCGTTTCGCGCGGCGAAAGTCTGAACCAAAACGTGTGCAGAGACGCGGAGACTTGTTGAAAAAATGTAGAGAAAATTGAACGTCTCGATGCGCGGTTCTACATTTATAAAAGCCGTTCCTTTGTAGAAAACGGCGGAGCGTACAACGGTAAGTAAGAACATTGATGCATTACGGCAAATTAGGCCGGGGCCAGTCAGGGAGTATAAGGGGACTTTTGATCCAGAGCATGGCGGTTATATAAATAGTGTACTTTAAAACTTTAAGTCGCGCCACGCGGCGCGCCATACAACCGCCCGCGAAAAAGAAGTTCGGGACTTTTCAGGTGTGGACGCGCAGACCGCGTTTACGACATTTAACGTTTCGTGGATTGTATATTAATCAAGGTTTTAAAAAGTGTAATGTGACGTTACGCTTTACCTGCAGCAACTCGCCGTGCGTTTTAACGTCTGGTGGATCGAGAGCTAAGCCGAATCAAATTCAACAAGTACAGAAAAAGAAGGCTGGTTCAAATCAGTAGCCTATCTTTTCTAGCGCATGTTTGTAGTGAATAATAGTAAAGACTCTAGGATCGCACGTCGACTGTATTCCAAACTGATGCCTTAAGAATGTTCTGGAACTTTCTTAATAACTGCGGAAAGGGTCAATCAATTGAATAACAGCAGAACGGACGCGTTCGCGACACCTCCCGTCGGCACGGCTAAGAAAATGTGTCAGAGACAGTGCTTCCGAATGATGAGTAATGGAAGAGACTCAGGACAACTTGGTTGTTTGCTGACATTTGCAGCGGAGAGTGAACACTGTATTAATCACGTGTCCCGGGGCGCGCTATGCGCCAAGTGGTTCATTTCGTCTGAGTAGTCACAGTTGGAGGTTAGTACACGGTGAGTGTCACCGGTAGGCTTGCAGATCACGGCCGTTGGTCATTTTTGTCTTTTACCGAGCGGCAGAGGCGAGCGCTCAATGAATCATGACTATCATATTGTTAATCGTTGACACAAGTGCCTCAATGGCACAGAAGACCTATCTTGGCACATCCTATCTAGACGTGGCCCGCAATATAATCGATGCGCTGCAGAAGGTAGGTAGAGCTCCTGTATTCGCCATTAGAAGGCTGGTTTTAGAATTCCTGAATACAGCAATTCAAAATCGAACCTTTTTGCTACCTTTTTGCAGCAACGCGCAGGTATGATGAAGGGATTTGCACGCGAGGTACGATTCGCGTTTTTTCTACTGTGTACAGATACGGAAGCGTATTACGCCAGCTCATTTATTAAGGTGCGATTCCTTTTTTGTCTTTGTGTATTCCTGATGAGGTGCATATACTCCTTATTCTTCGCTATGTCAGTGTTCGGATGGCATCGGTGCAAGAACATTGCGCACTGGCTATATTTGCCGGCCAGTTAGAAAAAGACGCCCTACGCGTGTATGCGGTGATCTATCTCTAGATGCAATTAATGTTGATCCGCCCTGAATTGTTGATCATTTTCATCTGCTCAACTTGTTTTGTAGTAGCATGTTTCACTTCATGTCTTATTTGGTAGCACCACAATATGGTAGGCAAGGTAACGAGCTAATAAGACTTCATGTCTTAACGGTGGGCTAATTTATTTAGAACTGTACGTAGGAATATTGAGGCATTCATTAATTGTGCCTAGTCAGGATAGGAATATTATGTGATGCGAGGCGAATTATACCTCACTATTTATTGTGCTCACTGGGTCTTATTATTTCGCATCAGACAATCTACTCTCAAGGTTATACGATATTTCAGTTCCGATTTTTAACTGGGTACAAGTTTTCGGTTAAATCGTATTCACGGATCAAAAGTCAAGATTAAGGATGATACTTCTTTACATGTAGCCATTTAGCTTGCACGATTGACTGTTAAATATGAATTTTTTTGACTCTCTCAGTGGATATTCAAGAAGGATAAATTACGACTTGACTAATATAATCATTTCTGTACAAGAAATAGAGGTAATAAGGATGATTGCCTAAAGCTTATGAGTCGTGTTCGATTGATTCGAGGATAATGTTAATTATTCAAAGTCATATATTTAGAAGTTATAGAATCAGCCAATAATGGCCGCACAAACGAAACTTATGGTGGATATGAATGTGGGTTAGCACATCTAACGCTAAATAGGAGATAACTTTTAATGATTCTAAAAGCGACCCATGATTCTTAGCGAATGGTGTTTATCAATGTCATCAGATTTGAGTTTTTAAGCACGCAAACGAATCTCCATTTGCGATTCGTAACTTCATTGGCTTCAATTTTTGCTGGTACCTTATTCGAATGAGACTGCTATCGAATAGATTGAAAAATTTTTTATCCTGAGTTGTTCAATTGACGGCTTCCTCTTTTTATTTAGATAAATTTTGACACACTATGATAAATAATATAGTCCATTTATTCTTTACTCATAATTTTCAGCAGCTTAGATTAGAATTTCGCTTGAACACGGATTACTATACACTGTTTAATACTATTGTATAAGCTGATATTGGGGCCTGTTGGACGTGAGATAGTATAAGCATCAGAATCTCATTGTGTTGTGCTTCGAAGGGTGTGACCGTATACATTTTTTAGGCCCTTCAAAGTTCTTTTTATGGATATGGAACGTCGCTGGAACTAGAGTTTCGGAACTGATGTCGCTCTTAACTGTAATTCTAGAATACCTTGGGAGTTGGGCAAACAAAGAGCTTGTCGCGATGAATATATGAGATGCTCTGCTTTTTGTTCGGTTTTTGTTAGTTGTTGTCCGGACGTGAACTCTTCCCAAAATCGGCTGAGTCTTAATTAGATTGAAAAAAAAGTTAACAGCACATTTGATTGAGCTATAGTGCTGGTAAGCAGCAACCTACGAATCATTCAAATGCTAGTGTGCAGTATGGAAACTCTAAAGCTCAGAATACCTCTAACTCAAAAAAGCGCTATCAGGTATCAAAGAGAAGCATTCCAGCTGCACGAGATGAAGAAAACTGAATAATTCATTTCCCTGATTACCGCGTGATTCTTGTTGCTTAGAATTCGTGGGATTACGTGGTTGATCACTGTTGAAAACCAATGTTAAAAAGAATGCGTAATTCAAACGATGTATATATAATTACTTTTTCAGCTGGCCCCTACCGGAAGACCTTATCTGGGCTCCGAGATGACCATGGAGTCGTTTCGTTGGGACCAAAGATTGTTTACTTGTGTGAGTGCTGTTCCTTCACAAGTGTAATTATAATCCTGGATTCCTGATTCCCTCCTCAAAATTGGCATTTTAAAGGTTCTTCGCTATCCATCGAAAGGGATGCGGGTAAATTTATCTCCTCCAATCATACTTCCAAACGGCGGACAGCCGATCGAAGCAATTTGCGCATCCACCGGTGGTAGGAATTACTTCATCATTTTCCATTTTGTTCTTTTAAATAGTCTCCATGTTATCCTTTGTTGGAACCTCGGCATTATTGGTCGAAATGTTTGGTTCTTCTGTAGCCAAAAATACAAAATCAAAATCTTCGAGCTATCTTCAGGCCTCTGAAGAAGACGAAAAGTCGAAACGTCGGGCCATTCAATAGAAAGGTTCCAACTATCAACCTCGCTTGGCTACAGAAGAATTAAGCTGTTCTCTAGAAGTTGTTTACCACCGCGCAGTTCACTCGAGCAACGTATTTTTTGGAACGGAATCTCACTGTTTGTTCTAATGAAGTCAGCCATGGGAAAAGGATAGGGTTCTTCTCAGACATTCGTGCGTATAGACGCACTCACCTGGAGTATCGGAGAAATGCAGTCCAAAGCTTCAAAGGAGCGGTAAATAGAAGCTTAAAGCTGTGAAGTTCAATTTCTTTTGTATGGTGTCTGCGCAGTGTTCGCTTGCAAATAGCTGTCAAACGACTCTCTGAGGCGAGACACAACGATACCGAAAAAAGTGTCATGGGGCCTCTTGTCATAATCATTCTCCCGGACCTTACTCGTTTGGGATTGGTACTTTTCCCTATTCGGTTAGATACTATTCCCCCGCAAAGGTGAGGGCAAATATGACCGGCGACACTGCGTTCGAGCTTTCAAGCGGTATAGTTAAGGAAATGTGCAAATCTCAATGAAGTAGGATTACACCGAAAAATCGATTTAGTTTCTACAGACTACATTAACTGGAATTCAAATCATGATGAGCCCCAGGTCTTGAGTTGAAATGCAGGGCTAGTTTAGCGTGTGTTTTGCTAGTTATCAGATATGCGGAAATGCCCTTTAAATGATGTGTTAGAATTTTTAGCTATTTTTGCACCTTTCAAATTATTGTCGTCAGTGTTTCACATGAAGTTTTTGTGTCAAGGTCGCTCATATCTACTCCAATCCCATAAACTAATCGGACCAATGGTTGATCAAATTGTGCAGGCTATCCAGTTGAATGGTATTATTGTCCGTTTTGAGTGTCCCACCCTTGCGAGTAAGTTTGCAGTTCGTTTTAAAGGAATATTTCTCATGGTCTATAATATCGCTTATTACAGTTATAAGGGAGACGAATGAAGAGAATATGACCGATCGAGATAAAGCTCGTCTGCGCTTAAAGAGCCATATGGAAGCAAAACCGCTAACACTTGTCTACGTCAAAGGTCTCGGTGGAAGACCTCCAACAGGACATTGGCCCATTCCTGAGGCTTTCTGGCATGACCGTATCGAGTAATTTTTTTTGTCAACTGTTCAGTATTATTTACATCCGTCAGCGAACGTACTTTGTAGTAAACTCACAGAAACGCAGTCTCATTTCACTTACATTTTCAGAAAGCGGCAGCTAACCTCCACGTCGGGCACATCTTGTATTGTTTCTCAATTCGATCTGTGCCTGCCTCGATAGCTTTGCCGGTATGGTTTATGGAATAGCTTGCATTAGCGATTTTTCGAGTTTATCCTCGAATTGTCCTGTGTAGATTTGATTAGAATGCTGGCGTCTATAATGAGTCTCATTTTGATGCTGCTTCATTAAACTATCGCAATTGAAAGCATAACTTTCATTGGCACTCAGTGTTAAGTGTGAAGTTGCTCCCTATTCCTTCTCTTTTTGCCGTTTTTGAAACATGGGCTATCCTTAGTTCACGTTCCATCATCGTTCTGGCATGAGGCTCTGGTTAGGCTCAACCCTCCCAATCTTTTTATATTCCTTTTCATAAATTGCACTGCGATTTTGTCTGATGATTTTTTATCCCCCTCTACCCTTCTGTATCTCCCATCTGTCTAGTCTCATTTGCCATGTCGTTTTTCTCATTGTCACCTATTAAGTCACACTTATGGATCATACTGTGACAGTAGGTTATTTTGAAGTGAATCCTGCGTCCACTCTGAATGAACCCTGGAAGCAATTTGCCATAATGCGTTCTCGTCATAGGAACAATTTTTCTTGTAACCGTAATTGTGAAATGTTTAGACGATTCAAACGGATCTGCCTTTTGATAAGTATCAGCTCGAACCGAGTCCAGTAGCGGAATATGTTTTGGATAGGCATGCAAGCACATCGACGAATATGTGTTATCAAGTGAGTTCCTTTTACATGTAAATATAATAATAAACCAATCCCAACAAATCGTCTACTAGAGTATTCTGATATTTATACTCTCTCTCTTCAAACACCTACGATGGTTTTCAGATTACTTTTAGATTAAGTTGAATTCATTCAGTTATCACCTCGATCAGTGACCACGGTAAACAGTACGTACAATCTTACTTCATTTATTGCCCAGAGGAGAAACCTCTCGTTTTTGCAATCGTGACTCATGGGGCTGTTGAACTTTTTCCTTCCACCTATCGCAGGGCATTTTAAACTATTTTTCCTCGAGGTAGAGCTCGACACTTCACTTTTCTAGCGAAAAGTAATGGTGTCGGTGAGCGTTTTTGGACCTCAGATTCGGCGGTAAAGGCATATTGTGCACCTGATCAAGCTCAGGTGTGGCTCACCCTGTGCACGTCCATAAATCTGATCGACCAATTTGGAAGCTACCTGGTGATCGATCAAGGACTGGCAAGTGTCCGCACCTCTTTATAATTGTTTAGGTAGCAAAGAGAAGAAATCACTGCATATATTGCAGGGTTTCTAAGTTAGTGCGTTTTTTGGATCTTGTTTTTGGTTGCGCAACCTCTTTCGTCAGGGTTTCGCTATATTGCATGAAGGAGCTCGCAGCGAGGTGATGAAAGTAGTCGTTGAGAATGGCGATCTTCAGCAAAGTAATGATACGCTATTGAAAAATTGGGTACCCAGTCAAGTAGTATCCTAGCTGGAGCATCATC